CTCGAGGCCCTCCAGCTGCGACTGGATTGATCTACAGCTCAAACTTTCCGTCCAGGATCTGCTGCACGTCGACCGAGGCTGCTTTTTTTGGCAGGCAACGCATGCGGCAGGTACTCCTGGGCGGCTGCAATATCATCCTTCTCGGCTCTCTGCACCTCCTGCGTAGCCTCTGCAAGGTCACGCTCTGCCCTCTCGAGCTCCTTCTTGTTGTGGATCCACGCAGCTTTGGCCTTCTCAAACACTTTTTTGGCGCGACTGACTCGAGCCGAAGCCTGCTGCAGTCCTTGACCTGGCTGGAGCGGGGGCTTGGGTGCTGGCTCCTCCAAGGCCTTGAGGAGCCCCTGAGCCGCCAACTGGGCCTCAGAGGGGAGCAGGCGGGCCAGTTTCTTGATCTGTTCCTCTGGGGACTCTCTGGCTGCTGCTGGTGGACCCGAACTCCACTTGTTTGGCACAGGAGAAACAATATCATGATCATCAAAGAAGCAGCCACACTCACAGGTCCAATTCTTCGACTTGAGGCGGTCCTGGAAGAGTTTCTTCCCACAACTGCTGCATTCCACCATGGGCCGCCCACGACGATTACCCCACCATCCTGACATGCTAGACAAGGGCGGGAAGTCGAGCGATCGATCCGTTCCATGACCTTTTCCTTTCCCACTGGCTCTGCCCGATCCGTACCCACCCTGCACCCACGGCGCATAAGCGAAGTTATTGAGCCAAGGCGCATGGCGCTGCACTCCCATCACACTATGAAACGTAGGAGTGAGATCGGACTTAGATTATTGAAGTGAAAGCCCCGACAGCCGTCGGGGGATGCTGTTGGGAAGTGAAATCCCCGACAGCCGTCGGGGGATGCTGTTGGGGGCCGCGTGCGTCTCAGGGACGCCCCCCTTGCCACAACTCTGTCCGCTGCTGACGCCTGAGCCACCGCTACGGACTTGAGCCAAAATGGCTACGGAAAGGAAGAGAGACCGGCAAAACAACAAATAAAAAACGACCACTTTGCCGCTCGAGTCCAAATATGATCAAATATGTCCACCGTATGTTTGGACACGCTGTTCATGTGTTGGACACGTGTGGGCACGGCCTTGGACATTGAGCGTAAGCTCAAGGGAAAGTAGACGCTCGTGATATGTGAGATCCCTGGACACTCCAAGCACCGGGGTGAGGCCGCTGTGTCAAACAGCACCATCAACTTACTGTTGCTGGAAATTCGGGGACTCTGGGACGCCGCGCCGAAGCCTGGGCAGAGATGAGTAAGTCAATTACCGGCACAGCGAGCGGACGTGCACCTTTGGGGCACCTTGGGGCAGAGGCACCACCGCGGGAGACGAGCGCGTTCGGTATGCACGCGCATGCTTCACCCACCCGTGATATGGAGGAGGAGGAGGAGGAGGAGGAGGAGGAGGAGGAGGAGCAGGAGGAGGAGGAGGAGAGGAGAGGAGGATTGTGTGTAGTTTTTGTTCTGAAGACATTGTGACGGACGGCTCTTTCTGGCTCTCGGCCCCCGGGGGCCCCCCTCCGGGCCCTCGGGGCCTTCGGAGGGCTCCCTCGGGAAGGACGAGGAGGAGGTCCCCATCCCGCCCCTGCCCCCCCAGGAAGGAGGAGGAGGAGGAGGCTCACTCGCTTCCCTGTCCCTGAGAGGGAGGAGGAGAAGGGGGAGGTTCATTCCCGTCCTTGTCCCCCAGTAAGGAGGAGGAGGAGGAGGAGGAGGAGGAAATTCTTTCCCTTGGGGGTCCAGACCTCCAGGGGCCCACGCTGCACAAACGGACGGCGTCGGGGGTCTGGGCGCGAGCGACGGCAACACCGCCGCACGCTCAAACGCAACCCCGCGCGCCTCCAGGGCTCGGGATGCCATCGCGCGGGTGAGCTCCGCCCGGTTCACGGCGCCATCGCCGTCAGAGTCGATCTGCATGAAGCTGGGCTTGTCCTCGCGCCATGTTTTTCTTTTTTCTTGTTCTCTCTCTCTCTCTCGCTCTTTCTCTCCGCTGCCGCCAGGATCTCATATGCCGACTCATGGAGCAACCCAGCGTGACCGTCGAGCGCACGCAGACATGGGATCCGCTGAGTTGAGGGGCAACGACAGGGGGGCCGGGATGGGGGGGGGGGGGGGAACATGGACCTGGCGTTCGGCGATGCACTGCCGAGAGATCGGCGACGGAGGCCCCCGACTGCAAACTGGCACGCTCCTGGGCAGGCAGGGCTGTCACCCCGTATCCGCGATCACTGAGCGATTGGGGGTGGATGCATCCCCGCCGTACATCCTCCCCCATCTAGAAAAAAAGGAAAAACTGCACAGGCATTACGCTACCGAGGAATCCCACATGTACTTCGTTTCAACTCTTGCCCTACTATAGTTGACATGCAATATATGTGGATCATGTTAGGGTGTCAGGAGAGGTGCCACGACTGCTGTCCCGTGGACGACCAGGGCGGATAGCACCCCCACCCCCAGCGCACCCCCTGTGGCGTCGAGGAAATGTCACGCCCGCCGTGCCCTGCGAGCCTGCAACGCGTAGCGCCCCCACCCCGAGCGCACCCTCATGTACCGTCGAGGAAATGCCACGCCATGCGAGCCTGCAACGCATAGTGCCCCCACCCCCAGCGCACCCCCTGTGCCGTCGAGGAAATGCCACGCCCGCCATGCTCTGCGAGCCTGCAACGCATAGCGCCCCCACCCCGAGCGCACCCCCTGTGGCGTCGAGGAAATGCCACGCTATGCGAGCCTGCAACGCATAGCGCCCCCCCCCCCAGCGCACCAGCACCCCCTGTGCCGTCGAGGAAATGCCACGCCTACCATGCCCTGCGAGCCTGCAACGCACAGCGCTCCCACCCCCAGCGCACCCCCTGTGGCGTCAAGGAAATGCCATGCCTGTCGTGCCCTGCGAGACTGCAACGCATGGCGCCCCCACCCCCAGCGCACTCCAGTGGCTTCGAGGAACTGCCACGCCCGCCATGCCCTGCGAACCTGCAATGCATAGCGCCCCCACCCCGATCGCACCTCATGTGCCGTCGAATAAATGCCACGCCCACCACGCCCTGCGAGCCTGCAACGCATAGCGCCCCACCCCGAGCGCACCCCCTTCTGCCGTCGAAGAAATGCCACGCCCGCCATGCCCTGCGAGCCTGCAACGCATAGCGCCCAACCCCGAGCGCACCCCCTTCTGCCGTCGAGGAAATGCCACGCCCGCCACGCCCTGCGAGCCTGCAACGCATAGCGCCCCCACCCCCAGCGCCACGCCTGCCACGCCCTGCGAACATTGCGCATCTGTGTTATATGGTGTGCGTGTCATGTGTATGATGCGTGCGCGGCTGCATCTGGAAAAGTGTCTCATGTGGGTGCCCATTATGTGGCGCATACGTCGTGGGTGTATAATGCAGTGAACGCGCCGGGCGTACACTGGCGTTGTTGATGTGTGTATGTGTGCGGTGCGGGCGAGCGAGCGAGCGAGCGAGCGAGCGAGCGTGCGTGCGTGCGTGCGTGCGTGCGTGCGTGGCTGCGTGACTGCTTGCGCGCGTGCGTGCGTGTCTGCGTGTGTCTGCAAATTTGTGCATGCGTGCGGTTGTATGTAGACGCGCGTCTCATGTACGTGCCGTGCATGTGTTGCGCGTGGGTGAGGGGAGGAAGGACGAGGAAGGGAGGAGAGAACAGGGAGGTGCGTGTTGCGGGAGACGCGGGTGCGACGCGGCAGGGAAGAAAACCAAAACTCCACAAAATATGTGGGGCATCAACTTTTGGCGCTCCGCGCGGATTTTTTGGGATCCGCGCCGGACCCCCCTCCCCGGCGCGCGGAGCGCGGCAAGGGCGGCGCCGCAGGCGCCGCCAGGGGGGCCCAGCGCGGATCCAAGAAATCCGCCGGGAGCGACAGCAAATTCATGTTTATGCTGTTTCCTTTTCTTCGACAGATGCCCACCCCCCCTGTCGCTGCCCCTGAAGGCTGCGGCGCAAGGGGGGCGGCCTTTTTGGAAGGCGGAGGAGGAGGAGGAGGAGGAGGAGGAGGGAGGAAGAGGAGGAGGAGGAGGAGGAGGAGGAGGAGGAGGAGGAGGAGGGGTCTGAGAAGGCCGGCGGCCCCTCTTATATGAGCCCCCCGGCTCCCGAGCAGCCGCCGGGCCTCCTTCGAAAAGAAAAGCCCCCCCGTACGCTTCTTATTATGTTTCGTATTATTCTTATTATTATTCTTCTTCTTCTTCTTCTTATTTTTCTTATTCTTAGTATTCTTCTTCTTCTTATTATTATTCTTCTTCTTCTTTTTAATATTATTCTTCTTATTATTATTCTTATTCTTCTTCTTCTTCTTATTATTCTTATTTTTCTTCTTATTATTATTCTTCTTCTTCTTCTTCTTCTTATTCTTCTTAGTCTTCTTCTTCTTCTTCTTCTTCTTCTTCTTTCTTCTTCTTCTTCTTATTTTTCTTCTTCTTATTCTTCTTCTTCTTCTTCTTCTTCTTTTTCTCCTGTCTGTAAGGAGCTCCAGACGCGGAGGCCGGTTGTCTAGAGCCGTCCGCCGGCTTGCAGGCGCGCCGGCTGCGCCGCCCGCCTCCCCCAGCCGGGGGAGGCGGACGGCGCTTAGCTGCCCCCGGGGGCCCCCCAGGGGCCCCCGGGAGCAGCTCAGCGCCCGCCTGGGCCCGGGCCCGCTCCGCAGGCCAGGCGCAGGGCGGCGACCTGGCCTGCAGCGCGGCGCCTGGGCCCGGGGCGGCAGCCCCGACAGCATTCTTCCGCAGGCGTGCCCGCCCGGTCTCTCCCGGGGGGGACGAGGGCGGGACCCAGACCCCCTCGCGCTGTGGAAAAACAGCACGGCGGGAGGTGCTCCCCCACCGTCGGCCTCCGGGGGCCCTCGCCGGGCCCAGGGGGCGTCGAGAAGCGGCTCGGGATGCAAAACCGGTCCCGGGGGAGGGATCCAGACCTCTGGGGGTCGACGTCGTGAAAGGATCACGACGTCGGAGGAGGAGGAGGAGGAGGAGGAGGAGGAGGAGGAGGAGGAGGAGGAGGAGGGGGGAGACGGGGCAACAGGAACAGGAACAGGCCATCCCACGTAGTGGTACAAGGAAAATGACGGCTTCCTCCCCTGAGCACGACGCGCCACGCGACGAAGAGGTAGAGCGGCGCGACGACCTTAACGAGGAGGGACACCTTCAGCTCTGCGGGCATTCGGATGGAGCTGCTGTGGGGGGAGCGGGTAACACCGCAGGCCCGTTTACAGAGCATCGACCCAATTGTTGCAAAAGTCTGATGGAACGGCCGATGACACTATATCAGAATTGCGACTTTCCCACCTGGCTCCACAAATATCCTGCCAGCACTGGCGCAAACTGGTCGCCCGATCATCAGGCTTGAACATCGCCTTATCAACAGAGTCAGAAATGAACGACTGGCTGACCTCTTGCGCGCCCAGCTGTTCATCTGCTCTTCAACCTCGACAATGTGCGCGTCCTCGTCGGCGTTGGTCACCGTGTCCGAGGCGGGGTCGGGCGCGACCGTGGCTGTATCCAGCTCGGCCTCGCCCGACAGATCCTCCTCGGCAGCGGCGCTCGCAAAAATAGCAGCAGGCAGCGGCGGTGGAACAGGAAATTGATCATCTTGCTCCGCCTCCGCCTTATCACACGCGCTCGCTCTGATCTCAGCGCTGGAGCTGAAAAAGTCGGGTTCGATCGCCGCCTCCAACTTCTCGCATGCGCAATGCGCAGAGCTGTAGGTGGGAATATTTGGCTCCAACTTCGACTTCCCAAGCGCCTGCTTCTCACATTTCTTGCATGCAGCAACTTCCGTGCTGTAGCTGAAGGCGTCTGGGTCCGGTGCCCACAATACGCCGGCAGCCACTGCACCGTTCTCGCATGCCGGAGCGTGCTCCTGCAGACAGTCGGCGGCCTGGCCCGAGGTCCACGGAAGATCCCGCCACGGCTCCACGACAACGAGACCAAAATCCAGTGCCGCTTGACGACCCACTGCCAGGTGCAGCCTCCGCAGCGCGCGTCTCCTGCTCTTGCTGATCGTTCCATAAGGGTTCCACTCAACCGAAAAGGGGGGCACACTCCACGACGACCAGGGATGAACAGGTACGGTTGCTGCCATGATCACGATTCGCCTCGATCTTAGCCACCCGTCCGAAATGTAACAGAAATACACAGTTCCGGTGCCACAAGCACGGCGCGATGAGCCGCCGAGGCACGGCATCGAGACTGGGTTGAGCCAAAAGAAATGGCTATGGACCCGCCTCGAGCCGCATGTGCTTGTGGGGGGAGACGGGGCGAGAGGGGAGTAGGGCGGGAGGAGGGGCGTCCAGGGCGGGAGGCGGGAGGATCGGCGGGCAGCGAGGGGGGGAAAGCTGCGAAGGAGGAGGCCTGATTGCCCTGAGGCCACCTCGGGCCATGTTTTCGGCGGCGAGCCAAGGGGGGAAGTGAAGAGGAGCAGGCCTTCTGAGAGGCCGTCTCTCTTCGGGGCAGGCTCAGTCGGCGATCGACTGACCCGGGCCGATCCAGACCCGGGTCAGCCGGGGCTTGCAGGATCCTGCCAGATCCTGCAGGATCCTGCACCCGAGCCCAGGTCAGCGTGCCCCTGGCCCCGCAGGATCCTGCAGAGGATATCCGGCGCTCTGACGGACCCCGTCTGCACTGATCCCCCGTCTCCTCCCCCATTGGTCTGTGAGCGGGCCGCCCGCGAGGCGTTAAGGGGGCCCCTCTGTGGGCCCAAGATGGATCCGAGGGCGGGGGCAAGGACGAGGAGGAGGAGGAAGAGGAGGAGGAGGAGGAGGAGGGGGAGGAGGAGGAGGAGGAGGAGGAGGGGGAGGGGGAGGTTTGGGGAGGCCCTGGAAGACTGGTCGGAGGGCCGAGGAGCGCCCGAGAGCCTCCCGGGAGGGCCCGCCCCCTCGCCGCTCTCTTCGCCCTGGGCTGGCCGCCGAGAGGAGAGAGGGGGGAGGACAAGCTCTGGGCGCCCTCGCGCCGCATCGTCCATTCCGATGACGCTGCTCCTCCTCCTCCTCCTCCTCCTCCTCCTCCTCCTCCTCCTCCTGCTCCTCCTCCTCCTCCTCCTGGGCGGCGAGCCCAGGCGGTGAGTGCGAGCCCTCCTCCTTTCGATCGCTGCCTCCCGTCCACTCCGATGGCGCTGCTTTGGTCTCTGTCTGCGGACGCAGTAGCATAGCCGGCCTGGAGCTGCAGAAAAGGCGGCAGCGTATCACACGCGATCGGACAGGTGGAGCCGCGTCCAAGGGAGGGCGGGCGAACAGGCGGATGAGCAGGCGGAAAACGAGGAGGAGGAGGAGGAGGAGCAGGAAGGAGGCGAGCAGCGGAGGCTGGGAATGGCCCGAGGGCCCCCCCTCGCGCAGAGAGCGGAAAGCGGGCTCCTCCACCATCTTCTTGGCCCTGGCGAACAGCTTCCGCTGCACGGACGCGTCCACGGACGTGCCCGCCGCCGCCACGGCGCCCTGAAGGGCACGGCGCCCGCCGGCCACAGCGGCCCTCTCCTCGTCCAGGGCTGCCCCAAGACGGCAAGACGGCCCTGGAAGG